ATATATGTATATATATATTTATGTCTGTTTATATATATATATATATATATATATATTTTATGTGTCTGTTTATGTGTGTCTGTTTATATATATATATATATATGTGTATATTTATATATATATATATTTTTATGTATATATATATATATATATATATATATATATGTGTGTGTGTGTCTGTTTTTTATATATATTTATGTGTATATATATATATATATATATATATATATATATATTTATGTGTCTGTTTATATATATATATATATATATATATATATAATATATATTTATATTTATATATATATATATATATATATATATATATATATATATATATATATATATATATATTTATGTGTCTGTTTATATATATATATATATATGTATATATATATTTATGTGTCTGTTTATATATATATATATATATATATATATATGTGTGTCTGTTTATATATATATATATATATATATATATATATATATATATATATATTTATGTGTCTTTTTATATATATATATATATATATATATATATATTTATATATATATATATATATATATATATTATGTGTCTGTTTATATATATATATATATATATATATATATATATATATATATATGTGTCTGTGTTTCTAAATTTTTAAGAATATTTTTTTCTTTTCAACTTATTAAAAGTAGGTGTAATTTGACTATTGCATTCTAATTTCTTACTTGACATCAATTTTTAAAAAGTAACTACTGTTTGGGCTGAGAGATAATAAGCAAGGAAATGTTTTGAGTCATGCATTGAAAATGATCCTGATATGTGTGGTTGTGTGTAAGAACAATCCTTAAATGATATTAAATCTATGTTTCTGGTAAAAATAAGAGGGAATACTAATTCAAATGAAAAACTGCTTTACTGAAACTGGTTAGAATAATCCAGAATTATTTCAATAGAAGAGAAATATTTAATCATCAAAGCAAGGCAACTGTTTGTGCATAATTATGTAGGTATAGATATATCCTCTTATGAGTCCCATAATCAGTTAGAGTTTATCTCTCTTTAGGCTGGTTTTCAATTCTGTTTCCTTCTCTTTGGATGGTCAACACCACAAGGCAAGGCAAATCAGTTCAGCTATTTAACCCATAGGTGGAGGCAAACATTGCAGATAATTTTAAAAGAAAGTTTGTCAATATCCCTTTTCCGTTTTGATAGAGTCTAGAAGTGTCTATGTGAATCTTGTGGTTGATGAATTCTTTCTCACCCTACAACCCTTAACCCACAAATAAAACATTGTAAAACTCTCGGTACTCTATCACTGTTGCCATGGCAAATGTTCTGCTGAGTGACATTCCTTAGTTTCACCCGTTATGATCTTAACAGCTAAGACCCACAATGTTATGTACACTGAGACAATTCCATGGGCATTTCCTTTGTATTACTACTATTATTATTATTATTATTATTATTATAGCAAGAAGAAAGTTTTATTTGATTGGCTTCTTCCAAAGAATGACTACTTTGGGAAACAGACTTCCAAGAGGACACTTTCTTGATCACTAAAATCTTAACCTCTTTAAGTCTAGGGTTAACTGTTATTTTTCCTTGATATATCCTCATATACTGTGCTTCTTATCTATGCTAATTAGGCAATTCATTTACATATCACTACAACCACATTTCCTCACTGATTGTTCTATAATTGTAAGGGAAATCAACTAAAATTAGGACAAAAGAAATTCTATTATTATACACTTAATTTACTCAGATCATTTTTGTTGTTAAAGTTGCCATTGTTCACTGCAATTTTTGGCTGAATTTCTGGAGTGAGTTATCTTTATTTACACTATTTACATTAGGACTATTGTCCACATCATTGTTGTTATTATCACCTGATCGCCTTCTGTCTGAATTTCTGGGGTGAGGAGTTATCATTATTTACACTATTTACATTCGGATATTGTCTTCATTTTTGTTGTTATTATCACCTGATCACCTTCTGCCTCAATTTCTAGGATGAGGAGTTATCATTATTTACACTATTTATATTTGAACTATTGTCCTCATCTTTGTTGTTGTCATTACAATGTTTCGGCTATTGTTCCCTCTGGCCTTCTTCAGGTCTATATCTATCTGGATAGCCTAGATGAAATTTAGTTCAGAATTTCCTCTAGCTTACCTAGATTGATATGCACCTGAGGAAGGCCGAAGTGCACAATAGTTGAAACGTTGTGATAACAACAACAAAGATGAGGATAATAGTCCAAATATAAATCCTATAAACCATGAAACTTTAAGAAATGCAGGAAAGGGTTTAGTGAGGTAAATGAAATCAGCAAACCAGGTCAAAATTCCAACTGTGGCAGTTTGTTTGCTTTGGGGAAAATCTGTTCTCCACTAGCTATTAGGATAAATGGCTTAAACTGGGCTTTTTAGCCTTGGTTGAAAACCAGTCTAGGACAAGGAGATCTTTGAATTCAAAGTAATGCAGAAGGTAAAAGAAACTATTTCAACTGTTTTTCTCAAAAATAATTATTGAAATGCACAATTTACAGATATAAAAGGAAGCTGTGGAAAGTCATGATCAACTATATTTTGAAATGAAAAAAATTAAAACCTCATTCTGTGCATTTCTTTACCTTAACAACTTAGCTACACAAGCAAATGCAAAACAACTGTTTTATTATTTGCAACATATTTGACTTTGTATTGAGTTTAACGACTATAATACAAATATTGTGAATTTGAGTTGGTATCTCAAGAAATTGGTACCCTGCCTTGTATTTAAAATAGCACCTTATGTAAAAGAAACAAATTAATGAAAAAATAACTTTGTTTCTTATCAGGAAAGTAAGTAATTGTATATTAGTATCTCTGAGAGAAAAAAATGAAAAACTTTTTAATGCCTCCAGAACGGCATAGTTTTTTTTTTTGGCTTGTTTTTTACTTTTCAAAAATACATTTTCTCAGTAAACTTCTATCTACACTTGGTAAAAAAAATAACTATTTCCTTTCTTTTTTCAAAATAAAATATTGGCCTGTAAATATCTACATGGGTCATATAACACCAAATAATTTCATATTGAAATCAAGCTTATTTTTTTATTGTCTTTCAAAATTCTGCGTTGCCAATAGATATTTACAAAGTTTGGTTTAATTTGCCACAAGGCTATACGCATTCAGTGGGAATTAAAGTCAGAACTTCAAAGGACAGGAAATTGTGGTGAGTCATAAATGCCAGTGTCCTTAAGGGATATAGTATATAGAAGAATATTTTGTTACAGTCTCTGCTGGTGATATACATACCATCAAAGACAACGTTAGCTCTTTTCTTTGTGTCCATGAGTACTGGACACAATCTGTATTGTTTAATAGTCTACAGTCAAATCTATTGCATTATTACAATAAAACACTATCATATGATGGTAGCACTTTAGTATTTGCAATGGTTTTTATTAGTTTCTTTTATTAGGTGATTTTGTTTTTGCACACAAAACTTTTATGCTTTTTCCACATTGAAATCTGTAGACAATCAATAGCAAATATTTTTCTTTCAAACTCCAGAAGTAAAAGGGAGTCTAGTTTTATACAAAGAAATCATTGACTTATCAATAAATGTACTAATATAAGCAGTATAATTTATACTAGCTGGATCTATAGAAATTCAACTGATACTGACAACTTAGATTATCCATTATTTTATACCGCCTTTGTTCTTTTCTCTCACCTTTTGCCTGTATCTTCTTATTCTCTCCCTTATCCCATCCAATACAAATAAAAACATCCATTATTCCTATTGCACTGGTGATGACAGGCACCATTAACTTTATGAGAAGAGCAAACAGTTTAAAGTAGGTACTTTCACAGAAACGTGATAGCTAATCAGTTTTTAAAAATGAGAAATCTTTCTTGAAGCTTTTATTTTAGTTTTAATTTGAAGCTAATAGATTAAATTTGATATTTCCAATAAGCAAAATACTTTGCTGTATTTCAAAAGTAATTTCTTTTCTATAAACACTTTCATGGTAATTGTTCGGATGTGGTTTTCTCTATGGTACCTAGACTTTTTGAATTTAAGCGCAGTTCTTGACTGGCGTAGGGATCTTATCAATTTACAGTTGAGCTGGCTAGATGTTGCTGTAAGTTCTATGTTAACAGTTTCTTTTCTTGCACCTCTTGCTTGTGGAACTCCCTTCTGACTCCATGCTTTCCAGCCAACTTTAATCTGCAAAAGTTTAAATGCAATGTCAATCACTATCTACTGTTCACCTGATTACTCTTTTCTATCCCTACTCATTATTAATGCTTCTGTTCCTAATTCTTCCATACCCTCTAACTGCTTGTGTCTTAGTGGCTTTACTCCCTTGCATAGGGTGATAGCGATTTAAAAAAAATTTGACTGGAAGTCATCCATGATTTTAGTGCCATTTTTAGCTACCTTTCATCACAATGTAATTCTCTTTATTAAAAAAAAATCTTTCAAAAATAAAATATACTTACCTGAAATTTTATTTAAGGAATATTAGCTGATTTAAAGTTTAATTAATATGATTTGAAACAAATATTACTTACTTTAAGTTTAAAATAACACAGAAATGCATTCTTAACATGACAGTAGTTATTTATTTAAGGTGTTGACAGCTTGACTGACAGACAGAAGTTTATCTACATTTGGAGCATTTTTTCATTATAGTATCATAATTTTTAGCAAATCAGTGGAGGTACATAGTTTAAAGATTTTTACAAGCTGGAAGTTGAATAGTCTAACTTCAGACAACAGCAGAATATAAGAGTAATATTTGGAAAAATATATATTTGAACACCTATATGTGAAAACCTTTTAAGTAACAACTTAACAAAATATCAATTTCATATATTTTGCAACTTTTTGGTAAAATAGGTAAACTCTTATATATGTATATATATTATGTGTGTCTTTCTGTCAAAGATGGCATTCAGATAAGCGGGAAGAAAAGCAAGAACACAGAGTGCAGCACCAACACCCATAGAGCCAGACATGGTTTTCAAATACAGCAATGGCAACAGAACCTACCATTCCGAGGTCAGACTGTACAGGCACAACAGGCAATGCCAACCGCATATGAGACCAACAAATACTCTATTGTCTTAGGAGACAGAAGGATGCCAGTAATAAAATAAGTAAAAGCTAAAAGATTACTTAGAATAACATTTTAAAGTTGGTTTGAGATTTTCAGAGAATATATTTCCTTATTTTAGTATAAGTTTTAAATAATTCTTTGATTTTTATCAGAAAGAGAAAAGATTGTAAAAAGTCTCATAGAAAAAAAAAGATGAATAAATTAATCATTTTGGTGGGAAAAATAACCAAGAAGTTTGAAAAATCCCTCTTGTATTTTATATGTGTTCCTACCCCATCTTGTATATTTAGACACGCACCTACTCATCTCATACTTTACCTGCTCATCTCTCTATCTCTGATCATATCTATCTCTCTATCTATCTATTTCAGTCTGTTCATATCTATCTATCTATCTATCTATCTATCTATCTATCTATCTATCTATGTCAGACTGATTGCATCTATCTATCTATCTATCTATCTATCTATCTATCTATCTATCTATCTATCTATCTATCTCACTCTGTTCTATATCTATCTGTGTCAGCCTGTTTTATATCTATCTATCTATATATATATATATCTATCTATCTACCTCAGTCTGTTTGTATCTATCTATCTATATATATATATATATATCTATCTATCTATCTATCTACCTCAGTCTGTTTCTATCTATCTATCTATCTATCTATCTATCTATCTATCTATCTATCTATCTATCTACCTCAGTCTGTTTGTATCTATCTATTTATCTATCCTCCAGTGGAAAATGTGCAGTTATTATTCAAATTTATATATTTGTATTATAAATTGTCATAATTTTTTAAAGCTTTCAAATGGAAGACTGAAATGGATTTAGAAAAACAAGTTAATTCCAAGTCATCTTTTTAAATAACCTCATCAAATTTCCGCTCTCATATGGATGTCATGCATGACATCCAACTTCTTCAGAAATCACTGATCTACATACATTTTCTCAAATCAATCGCTCCAAGTGAATGCAATCCTTTCTCAGATCTTATATACAGATCCACAAAGGAAGAACATCATTAAATAACAAAACCTACATCATTTGAAGACTTCCAACAGCAGCAACAACAAAATGTGGGCAGCATACGTAGAAGAGAAGGTAAGGATATACTGAAGATGTTGACAGTTCCCACTATGTTAAACAAAAAGTTAGTAAGGAAACTCCCATCAGTATTAGAAAGACCTATAACAATTAGTGGTGCTGAAACATTTAATTTTTTGAAAAATCGTTTTAAGAAAAACATTTTATAAATTTCAACCAAAAGTAATGCTGTTTGGTCCATGTTTGGCCAAGTATGTCTTTTATGAAGTTGGCTAGTCTCACCATTTCTTGATATTTCTGAAACTGCGAAAAAACAAAATAATTTCAGTGTGAAATAAAATATTCAGCAATCATCAAATTAAATTTTAATTTTTTAATATTTTTTATTGTTCAAAACAAATGAATTATTTTTATCAAAACCAGTAATAAAATTAAATCTTTTTCCAATTTTAGACAAATCAGCAAATCTTTCTTTGTAATTTCTTGAAATTAAATATTTTGTAAACTTTATTTTATTTTTTTTTTATTTTTCAAGTTATTCCGAGCTGGTATTATTTATAAGTAGAAAGATGAAGGAAAAAAAAAAAAATGAGGTATCAGTTTAAATGGGTTAATGTCTCTGATTGCACATTTTGTGTATAAATAGAGAAGTTACCGTTTGAAAGTTAAAACTTCTATTATTAATATGATGCATTATTTTCTTTTTAAATTTTGGAACCAGTAGAACTGGATAATTCAGAATAGTTTTTGAGCAGTTTGTGCTGTTTCCAATGAAGCTAGACAGAATGCTGCATAAAGAATTGTCATCATTTGTAGCTGACATAATTATAAGGGCATCCATTTGTAAAAGAGTCTTTTACTTCTGTAACATTATTATTTAGTTGTATTCTTTCAAGGTTACTTGATATTGGCTTGTTTAGAATGTTTTTTAGGAAATATTATTATTATTACTACTATTACTAAATGACTTTAGTTTGATAAATTCATTTTTAGTCGAATAAATAGAGATGAAATGTTTGAGAGAATTAAATATCAATATCTTGTTTCTATTTGTTATCAAGAAAATGAAATAAACAATTTTTTACTTAATAATGTTGATGCACAATTATATACATGGGTCTTTCAAAGGCTGGCTTGATTAGTCACACGCATTACTACAACAGTCAATCTATTACTATGTTCTCCAGCCTGATTTCACTTTCAATTTATGTAATGGAGAGTGCAAGTCAGCAAGTGGAATTGGCCAAAAGTACAAGTCGTAGCACCATGATAACAATGCAAAAAATGAAAATCTTGCTTGCAAAACCTGTGGCTTGAAGTGCAGGTCACTTACTAGAATAATGAGACACCAGTGACATCATTAGTATTAGAAATTGTGCTTGGAAACAAGATGACTTTGAACCATGTGTATATATATATATATATATATATATAAAAAAAAGGGAAGAGGTTATAGTAGTTCCAATGAGAGAAAAGTGTGTATATAAAAAGAAGAGAGAAACTGCAAACGTTTCTGGTTGTAATGTGGATTTTTAAAAAACAATATTATGCTTTATTTTACATAATTTTGCTTTTGGAGTGCATGATGATATCTCCAATCCAAAAAGATTGAAATTTGTTGCTTACTGTTGTTAATACATTTATATATATATATATATATATATATATATATATATATATATATATATATATATATATATATATGCCCCATGGAGAATAATATATCACTTATATCTACATAGAAAAGCAAATTGTAAGGCAAAACAAAAGGAAGAGTCTTACATTTAATATGGAGATACTCCTGTACATGGAGAAGCCATGTTTAAGACTGCAGATTCAAATGGGCTGGATTCATCTCTGTCCCAGGCAAGTTTTGTGTTTTCCCAAATTGAGGCCTGTGGGCTGGAGTTTCATTCTATATCTAGGAAAGATATATTCACAAAGGAAAATGGCATCATGGACTTGTAAGCTGCTAGGGATATAGATTTAGTCTCTACCCAGGCCATGGAGGGTCCAAGCTAAAGAAAATAACCTTACCATTTGGTTGCTGTAAACAAACTAAAATTTGACTGCCACTTTTCATCACTGTATGATGTCATTTAGCAGCTGTCATATGATCCCCGTAACTCCACCAAAGGGAAATAAGTGCCTTTTTGTATCGTTACAACAGAAATACTTACTTGCAAGACAGTATTTGGACAACTTTCTCAAAATGATAAATTATGTAGCGAATCCAATAAAAGAAATGTCCAAATAAACAAAAAAAGTTTCTTGTAAGATTTTTCTTTGTTTTTCCTTTTTTTTTTGTTGATCTGATTAATTATTGATTAATTATTACTGAACTCTGACCATGACTAATGAATGCATAACAACATCTCTACTGTTCTCCAACTTGAATCTCAATCAGTGTTCAAGGGAATAAAAATGTAGATTCTATAAAACTCTAACTGCAGAAATAACAAAATAATAAAATCCACTTATAACATTTTGTATGTTTGTAGCATTTTGGGCTTTGGTAGATAAAAAAAAATATATAACATTCTCATTTTATCTCTCTGCCCTCTCTTGTGTAATATTATCAAAAATTGAGAAATAACTTGACTTAGGAAAATTGTCACAACAGAATTCATTGGTTGTAAGAAAGAGATTCATTTATAAAGCTTTCTTCAGCTTAACTTTGTATACTCAAAAAAAGAGTCTGTCTTACATATCTGTAGATAAGAAGAGTTCTGTTAAGGTGGAGATAATTACTTCCGTTCTGACTTCTTTATACTGGTGAAAAAGAAAATTTGTTATTGAATTTTGAAAGGAGAAATTATTATTATATATTGATTTATTGGAACTGATTTTGACTGATAGCCAAAAATGTACACCTAAAAGTGTACACAACCAAAACCTGTCTATAATAACAACCAAGACAAGAACAATAGTTCAAGTCGATGTAAAAGACTGATAATTGGATAAGCAAAATAGAAGCTTCTATATAAAAAAAGACATGTTTAATAAAGTTGAGCAATATTGTGTATAATGAGTAAATATATGTGGTCTGTCTGGAAATGATCCAGCCATTATATTATTTCTGTAGTGTTTAGGAAGAAAAAATTAAAAAATCTGTATAAATTAAGATTTGGTAATATGAACAGATTAGACAGATTTGAATAATAGTGGACACATTATTAGAATATATTGTTAATCAACTTCATAAAAAATAAAAACATCTTTTCATAGAAAATTATGAATAATATACAATATCCCTACTGAGTGGATACCAACTTAAAATTTAATTAACTTATAATTTATGGAAAAAGATAAAATTTAAGATATAATTTAAAACATATATCAAATTATTAATCTGAAGTTTCAACTTTTAATAGTTATTAAGCTCTTAGAAATTTTATACCCTTCAAGTAACACACCTACAATTTGAGCTGTATTTCATGGAATCAACTGGGGATAAGTAAATGATACTGTAAACATCTTTGCTGCCTCTTCTCTCACAAAGAATAATGGACAAGATCTTCCTTTAGGCCAGTGTAAACACTGATCCTTTCTACATCTTGGTCAATGACTTGTTATTAGCCTCCTGTTTAGAATATGGCAAGATTATATAAATCCATGAATGGAATTCTGTCCCTTCCAACAGAGTGGCACTTAATCCCAAAAGTTTTTTCATTCATTTACACATTTTATTTCATTTTACTTACATATGAACAGTGGATGGTTGCTTTGAAGCTCTGACATCTTGATTTTACTGGGGACACAGTCAATAGTTATAAAACATCAGTCACTTCAGGCCCAGACAAAATTCTTTACAGTCTACTTGACTATATGTGTGTTCTAAGTCAGTCGAGTAGCCTTGCAATATTGAGACTTTCACGTGGATGTTATACATGGTAACCAAGTCATTTAGAAATATCTAAACTCTCAGATATATACAAGCACTTTCTCAGATTAATGGTTAAAAATTGTTTCAAGTGAATAATACCTGTAGATCTTAGCAAGGATCATCTTTTTTTGAATCTAATGAACTGATGCGACAAAATTCCAAACAAAGCTATGTACTAAATAACAGAAAACACATCACTTGAAGACTTTTAACAACAGCAACAACTAAAATGGATATGTTACTTGAAAAAAATCTTGACATAATCAAGATCTTGACATTTCACACTACTTCAAACAAAGGGTTAGGAAGAAAACTCCCATCAATATTGGAAAGAACAATAACAGTTAGTGGACTTGAAGAAACTATTTAGCTGAAAATAATGCATTAATAGAATGATTTTAATATTTGATTTTAATACATTTCAACTGAAAGTCGTACTGGCTACTCGGTCAATGAATGCTGAATGTTTCCTTATGAGGAAACAGTTAATATACCTATTACTGTTACTGTAATTCCTTATGTATAATACGCCTTCATCCATAATACGCACACCTAAAATTGTGCTGAAAATGTGGGAAAATGCTTCTACTCACCTATAATATGCACCTTTTATTTGGTAATCAAACCCTATAAATTGTGTCACTCCAATTTCATTATGGCCAGCATTTCCTACTCTTATTCAAGCTAAGATTATTGAAGATATTTATCAAAATTTCTGATAATCACAATTCTAAAAGGAAATGGAAATATCTATATTGTACCTATGATGCAGACTCATTAATCTGTTTTTATTCGATAAAATGT